GCCAGTTTCAGATGTCAAAATAAATTACACCTACAATTAACGTCATCTAACTATGAGCCGCAGGAACTAAGTTTACCACCTAAGGCTGCGTTCAGATTCCTTACCCGGGTGCACTCTAATACAAGAAGTGCTATAGTATATGTGACATATACTATAGTGTTTCTAGTAACAGAGTGCACCTAGGTAGGGAATCTGAACGCACCCTAATATATATAAATGCATAAATGTCTTTAATATATTTTAAAATTAGTATGTTTGAAATGTTAATTTGACAGATTTTATACTGTTCTTATTTTGTTACATACGAAATTATGACATAAATCCAATATTATTATAGGTTAATGTTTACTACACGTGAGATTACTAATATTTCTTTTCATTAATTTAATATCAGTAAAAGTGTAACAGATTATTTAGGGTGTATATCAGTTGGACACGAGGCAATTGGACGCAGTCCAATCAGAAGTCGCTGTTCCAAGGGACCCTACAAATGTCTTTAATCACACGGTGCTGTGATTGGCTGTGTACAAATGCACCGTGTCCAAATGCACCGCTCCCGATTATTTATTCATATATTAATATATAAGGAAAATGATAAGCGTTAATCATTAGAATAATAATTACGTACCTACCGACTTTTATCTTTTTATTTCTCTTGAGGACAAAGTATCACCTCATGTCGCCATGAAGATAATCCGATTATTGCTGAGACAGCTTTTACTAAAATCTGATTAAGCTAGGGAATTTTTTGAAATGGGTCGATTGAGTACCACTGTTCAGTCAGATTTCCAATCCGACAACTTATCGTAAACACCCATTATATATGGTTTTGCATTGGCGTCGCAATGTCCGGGTCCGTACATGTTTATGGCAGCCAATCGCAGAGTAGCTGCTTGACGATTCTCTTTACTAGAGGTTCTCTAGGAATGGAACACTTATCTATACACGATGCACCGGCTATGCATTGCTATGCACACGACGAAATCTGACCAATAGCAGCTATCTGTCGTGATCGTATTCTGGGTTATGATATGGCGCTGATCCAAGTGTTACAGATCTCGCGACGGGCCTTTTGCAACTTGTAAAGCTATATCCTGCTCGAAAGATAATATCGGGCGTGATTGGAGAACGAGAAAGAGAAAGAGCGAAGAAATGGGAGCGCGATAGGAGAAACGGAGGGGCGAGAATTAGCGAGAATAGGAGTGAGTTTAGCAAGCGTGACCGATCCGCCGATATTCGTCTCTATTCTGTTCTATTCGCATAGACTCGGATGCGGGACGGTTTCACATACGATATGCCCGGTCCAGATAGACCACGTCGTCACCAGCTCTCGTCAGTGCGATTGTCACGAGAACGAGAGCACGCGAGACGAAGATTATGAGTGCGTCGACGTCGTATAACGATCTGAACTCGAACCATCCTCGACGACTTTCGAACTTGTATCTCTCGTGTATCACCGTCGAGAGCGCGAGAATGACTTAGGCCAACTCGCCTGCAGACGATAAGAAACTGTCCCGGTACGCGATGCAAAACTCACGCCGGTTATGCTGGATGTTCTGGGTGGGTCTACTACCAATGATTGCAGCCTACCCTATACCCTCCTCATTTGTCACAGGTGGGTTTATATTCTTTTCTTTAATATTGACATCAATTCATTAATTCACAGATGTGTTAAGAGACTTATTAAAAACAGAGAAACATTTTATATATTCTTTGTTATAAAGTTATAAACACTAAAATGCTTTTGAAAAGTCTTGTTATAGATGTATTTAATATATTTTTGAATTAATGCATCAATAACTTTTTGATAAAAAATATAGACTGGTTTGTTTTTAATAAAAGCCACTTAATCTGTGATCTAATGCATCAATATTTAGTATAAGAATTTGTTGATAATATCTTGAGAATATATTACTGAAACAAATGTATAGAGAATATGTCATTGAAACAAATGAGTTGGTAAATATTTACAAAAGGTCATATTTTACTTAATTTGAAATATATTATAGCAAAGACAGTTGAAAGTGATTTCTAAAAAGAATCAAGTAAGAAACAGCATTGGTTGTCAAAATATTATAAAATAAAGTTTTAAATTTTGATATTTTCTAAATCATCATAAGTTATTAAATAGTAACTAATAGTAAATAGTATGTTTGTGTATAGGCTAGTTTCTATGAATATATTATATTACAAGTAGGTAAAACAATTTAAAGAAGACCTATAATGTATCCCAAAATAATATATCTTGGAAAGATTAACGAAGGCTCCTAACAAGGTTTGCATCCTGTCAAAATATTATTTGAATCTTTTGCTTTCAAATTTCATGAATCTATTGTATATTAAAGTAATAAAAATATTAGTAAAAGGCTTTATGCCAAGATTTGAGTTTTGATGTGCAATAAAATTTATGAAGAGATATTTTAACAATGTTTCTATTAAAGATGTTTTACTATATCTTAAAAATAATAGATGTAAAAATGATAGATTAATCCATAATGCACCTAATTATAAACAATTTGACATTAATTTAGAGGCTGGATTAAAAGTTATTTAACTTGGAAATATAACTCTACAAACATGATGATATCACAAGATATTTTAATGAAATATTAATTATGTCAATAATATCATTAATACATTATTTGACATCATTCTGCTACCAAAAATTCAATGAGAATCATGCAACAAAATCATAAGGTTTATTATTTTTAGCTGAACTAATGCACACTAATATAATAAGTTAGAGTGAGACAAATATATGTTTCATTCTAACTTATTGCACCAATTTAAATCAGTTCAGACAGTTTAGTTAAACAGAAGATATCTATAATCATCTATGTCTGCATTAAGTTCATATTCTGACCAGGGCTTGCTGACATGATTTGACAACAACTTAGCAGCAGAAACCGAGCAAGTTTTGCTGCCAAATTATACGTAACAGGATTTGTCTAATTTCTATGGCCAATCTGCTATCAAACTGCTACAGAATCACTTGGTTTTTGCTATCAATCTGCTGACATAGCATGTCAGCGAGTTCCATCAGATTTCTGACAACAGTTTGACAACATCGTCAGATAGAACAAAATTTGTGTGAGATTTGTAGCTTCTCTGGCACCAAAACATTTATAACAAGCTACTCTGAATCAGCCTGTGTAAGCTACCTGGATATTTAGAAATATTCTAAACTGTTACTGTTAGATAATTAAAAAATAATGACGATATATGCACTTGAAATATACATGTACTTGAAGTATTTATAATGATATGTGCAAAGTTTCGTTATTCAATAATACAAAGTTTAAAAGTAAAAAATAATATAAAATAAAGTAAATCAAATTAAAAATTGATATTACTTATAAAAATTAATATTAAATTACAAAAATTAATATTAAAATAAAAATATGTTGTTATCCAACTATATTGTGCGTGTACATGTATGTGTATGTACATATCATGCGTTTTTACATGAAAAATAAAAATATTGGTATATTTCTAACTTTCAGTATAACTTTTTGCAGAGACTATATAAGTAGTACAACCGTAAACCTTGTAGGGGCCTTTGCTGATTTTTTCAGGATCTTATTTTAGTACCTTCTTAAAAAAAAAGTCTCCAAGTTCACACACATATAGAATAGTCCAAAATTTAAAGTTATTGATAAATACAAAATTAAAATAATTTTAGATAAATCATTAAAAAAGAACAACTGAAAAAATTTCGAATTATTTTATCTCATTATTAAATGTGTATCTTCTACAGAAATAGTTATATTACGAGATTTACACCAAGTGGCCATAACGAATTAACATCTCATTTTCTTAATTATATTTTACTATTATTACCTAAACTAAATAAAATTAAAATAGTAAAATAAAATATAATTTTTTAAATTTGTATTTTTCTTACAAAAGAAATTACATAAAAAGTTAGGTCAAATGTCAATAATTTCTACAAACTAGTTATATTAAAATGTTGCACCAATTAAAAACTAAATGTATTTAAGCAATATTTTGTATACAAGCTAGTATCAAAAGCTCTTTCTAGCACATATTAAAAGTAAATATTATGATCTATTGGAAACTTCTTTAACATCAAAATTTCAAAAAAATTGAAATTCAAAAACACTTGGTGTGCTCGATTTTCATCAAAACATGTAAACATTCAAGAAAATATCAATTTCCATTCTAAATTTAAAATATTATAATAAAATATTTTGTCCCCCAATTAGTATAAGATACAAAGTGCACGATGTATTAAGATTTGTGTTTTGTGATTATGTATTTTCGGGCAGATATTACACTTTTTTCCGAAAATCTACTACTACATGTGTTACTTATTTTTTATAGAAATATCATTAAATATTTTATATGTTAAATTCGAATAATTTTTAGTTATTTTATATTTAAAAAAAGATGAAAGAAACATCAAGTTCATGCGCTTGCCTGCACGAGTGGAATTATACAAAAATTAATATTTCTATAAAAAATATCTTATTTGTAAAATAATACATTTAAAAATATTAATAAGAAATATTGTTGATTAGACTTTCATTTTTTACAAAAAATCAGGCAGTGATATCAGGTAGTTAGGCCAAGTGAAAATAATTCAAGTGTTTCCCTACATAAATAGAATTATATAAAAGCACATATATATAAAATATTTCACATACATACTTTTAGAAAATATAAATCTAAAGACGCGTTAAAACTTAATATTATTTAAATTTCTATTTTCTACAAAAGGGATCCTAAACAGCATAAGGTCTCCTGAGGACGTCCTAAAGGCGAAAAAATGTCCTCAGGACTTCCTCAGGATGTACTCTGGATGTTCCCAGGACATCTGTGCTGTTAGGGGTGTTAAAAGATAATTAGATCAAACGAACATACCATTACGTATACAGGGTGTCCCACAACTGGTATAACACCCGTTAAGGGTAGGTAAGGGGTGAAATTTGGAACTGAAAGTTTCTTTTCCATTTTTGGATCCGACAATTAATTAATGAGATATTAATTAATTAAGTCTACCAATCCCTTAACGCCCTGAGTGAGCGCTCAGGATGCCTTAGGGGCCCTGCTTGTCCGTGTTGTTAGAGGTCTTGCTTTTTCTCCCCTTTTTTTATATCACAGAGAAATAAATAGAGATGAGTGAGTGAGTGAGTGAGTGGGTGTGTGGATGGGTGCCTAACCGGGATTAGGAAGGTGGCAAGTTTTCAATATGTGGGGATGATGTATGGGTGTTTTTGTGTGCGGTTATGAGTGCATGGATAATTTGAATATTTTTAGTGCAAGTGGGCGGAGTGATTGCACTTTATGTGCCGGAGGGGGAGGGCATGTGTGGTATGTTTCTTTTGAGTGTGCGGGTGACTTAAAAGTTTTTCGCATGTCGGTAGTTAAGTATCGTGAATGATTTTAGTAGGTATGTACAAAAAGGAGAGAAAAACAGGCAGGCAGGGCTCCTGAGAAGTCCATGGCGTCCTACGTCCTTGAGCGCTTACTCAGGGCTCTAAGGGATTGGCAAACTTAATTGATTAATATCTCATTAACTAATTGTCGGACCCAAAAATAGAAAAGGAACTTTCAGTTTCAAATTGCACCCCTTACTTACCGCTAACGGGTGTTCTACCAATTGTGGGACACCCTGTATAACAGCTTTGTGTATATTTATACCACATGTGATAACTATTGACTTCTTTTTATTGGTAACCATGTAAAAATTAAGATAAAATAAAATTAAGTCACACAAAAAACACTTGGCGTACCCGTGTTGCGATAATTAACATTTTTAAATGTGTTATTTTACAAATAAAATATTTTTTATAGAAACATTAATTTTTGTATAATTCTACTCGTGCAGGCAAGTGCGTGAATTTGGCGTCTTTCTTTACCTTTTTTTAAAAATGGTAGGTTTGTTCGGATATTACATCTTTTTCGTAAACGATTGAATATCTATTAAGCACACAAAATTGACATAAATTTCATAAATAATTATAATTTGACGAGACTTGTATCAATTTAACAGGAGATATTACTATATTTCTTCTATAGACGCTTGGCATATTCGTACGATACGAGTGCTCAGTTGCTTCGAAACGCCGAGTGAGGACGAGAATATCATCCTCCTCTTCTTTCTTTCACTCGCTGTTTTGAAAGACGATCGCATCAGCGAGTGAGAGCGAGAAGGAGAGGATGACATTCTTCCTTTCACTTGCGCGACTCTTACTTTGTTTTTCGCGAGATATTACCGCGTTTCTTGACACCAACATGTGTAAACGACCTAACTACGTGGTCCATGCCTCGCTGACTGCGCCGCTGAGTGACGCCTCTGACGAAGAAAGACTGAGATGGACATCTGTAAAACGTTTTTTAATCGTAAAATTTTGCCATTTCGGATTTTTCACTAAAATATTTCCTCTTATAAACTATATAGGACAAATATAAAGATAGATTTATGAACCAAGGAATCGATAGAGCCTATCCAAAAATTCGTCCGATTAGCTGTTATAGTCGAACGAGAAATCTTGCTTGCGCTGAACTAGTTGGTTGGCTTAAGTTATACGCGGTCGGTCTCACGCCGTTCCTCGCTTTGCGCGTTTACTTGGCGCGAGACGTTACCACGTC